CACATAGACAATATGTATCAAATAAATAATAAAACTCCAGAGTAGCGTTTCATGCACAGGATTATAAATAAAGCTTGCTTAATCTTTAGCAGAGTTTATAATCTCTTTATAGTCCTGAATTGCATAAGAAATAATGAGTGGCATTAAAAGATTCTTAAGTAAAGATCATATTTGAAAAACATTGTCTTACAAGACACATGACCTCAAATTAGTTTTAACAACTTCTATTTCACCTTCCCTTTCATAGTGTGGATTAGTTATCACTCTGCCAAAGAACCAGTCTTCACTTCATCATAATTAATTCAAACTCACTTGCACTACTGGTTTCCACAAACCACATAGGTTGGGTTTCACAGGTTAGGAGAGCTTTAAGTTTATGCTTATGCTTAAGTGCAGCAGGCGTCCTCAGGGCGAGGTAACCTAGTTAAACAACACAGTCATGAACTGTTGTTACATGCAGTAGTATTAGTATTGATAGTGCTGGGGTAAAGCACATACATGTATGCTTCAGTTTGTGTGTGTGTGTGTGTGTGTGTGTAGCTGTCCCGACAGTGGTCGTCTGGCTGTCTGAGGGACTGGTACTGTGATACCTACTGGAATCACTGGATCAGTGTTGATTCTGTTTTAAGTGAGCCGGCTAATAAAATAAATTGAAACTGATATCCATCTTCAGTTTAGACTCTTAAATGGATGAAAAAGTGAAAGAGGAACTGAGGAATCGGATGTATATATGCATAGATGGTGACTCAAATATACATACAGACAGCAGCCGTGCACACATGTTCATGGTGGTGGTGACAGCTGGGGGCTAGAAATGGGATGTCTGTATCCAGAGATTTGGGGAAAGGCAACTCGAGGAGAGACAGGGGTCATAGTTGGCGTACCCTAAACACACACACACAGAACACAAATGACATGAAAACCGAGACGCAAGGCATTCCTCCATCCCCTAACCCCCACCAGTCTCTGAGACTTCTCTTCTTCTGCTCATAAAACTTTTTCACCACTGCAGTTTGTTTCAACAAACCTGCCCTAACCTTTCAACTTCAGGTTGAGTGTTTCTCCAGCAACCCCATAAGAACAGTCAGGAAAAAGAAATTAATTACACATTTAAACAGCACCAAAAACTATATTAGTATTTTAACATCATTCAGAGTACATGCATAACATGGGTTACAAGAGCAAGATGTAAAAAGTCCTTCATGAATCAGATTTTTGCAGTAGGGGTCTTGAATATGCAAGGGGGAGGTTGTCTGTCTTGGAGGCAGGTGTATCTATGATGTTAACTTGTTAACATATTCATTTCATTTTGACAGTCTTTCCCTTTATTCTTTCCCCAGTCTGGCTTTACTGACATTCACACAATCTGGCCAATGTGATTTTTCTGCAGGGCTGAACAAGTAGCTGCCAACTATCTACATACGCTGCCAGACTACTGAAGAACTAGGTAAATGCAACCCTGTGCTGTTCATTCAAAGCACAAAAAAACAGGCTGAGATGGAGGCAGTATGGAGTGGCTGTTTTTTACTTGGAAATTTGTGAATTTGGCTCCTGTTTAGCTTGGCTGCAGGGTAGCTATGGTGTGCCCAACTGGACCTGCTAAATCCATTAGAGGGGATGGACTGAGGGAAGTTGGGAGGTGGGGACACGGGAAGGATAAGGAGACAGAGAGGCCTGTTTACAATTGGCACTGCATGAGGGCAAGCTGTTCCTCTCTACTAAGATATGACAGCATGAACACACATCCTCATACGCATACTGTACTACTTTAAGTGGTCACATCCTACAGAAAACATTATGGTTTTTTATTATATGGCAACAGAACTGAAGAGTGGAGGCCCATGCATTTGAGGCTTTGAGGCTTGCACACAGCAGAGGCAGATTATGGGGGTGCAATGCCAGATATAATGTGGCTGAGACTGCATGGAGCCCTTGGGCTATGCCCTGTCTGTCAGTGTGGTCGCACAGAGATGATGTCACTGTTTGAATACACATGTGTTGTGCAGGCTTACAAAGACAGTTGTAGAAAAAAACATGGTAACCAAACAGGTTGAAACTTATTTTTTGCTGTTTTGACTTATTTTATTCTACTTTATTCACTTAAAATAGTAGAAACATCATGAAAAGCATTGTTATAAGTAGTGCCACTAGAGGGAGTGAATCAGGTGTGTCTTTCACTCCACTAGCCATCTGTTGAAGCCAGTATTTCTTTCAGCATTGAGCTGTATTTTATCCCTTGCTTTCTCCATTCCTCCTCAGCTTGTGTTTTCTATGGTAAACACAAGTGTGTTACAGCACAAGTCAAAAGGGAGATGATGTCATAGGCCGACTACTCATTGACAGGGACAGATTGCAGCGGTGAGATCTGTTCATCAGTATAACCATTCACTGGCACTCAATTAAAGCAATGAGGGAGAGAGGATGTCGCAAGACACAAACACACTTGTGCACTTTGGAATACACCCTTTCTGACTTTATTTTTTAATCATAGGTTTCTCCTACACAGGTCAGTGGGCTCTAAAGAGAATACAGCCGTCAAACTAAATCAAGCTGTAATCATTCCTACTGAACCTTTTCTATTGTGTCCTAAATCTACTCTTTCCATTTTTCTGCTTTGTTCTTTTTTTAATTCTCCCAGGTGTTCTCAATGACTGCATTTTTACAACAGTGCTATTATAGTACTGTACTCTCTGGGTTCATTTGTCAGAGTGGGATCTCAAAAAGACTGAGCTCTGACTCTAAATTTCCCTTTCAGCGGTAGAAGGGCTTCTTTTCATCATCACACCCCTAATTATGTCTACCAGACATGTTATGTTAACTTCTCTCTCTCTTTTTTCCATCAGCTCTATTCAAGATAGTCCCATAGACAAACACATCTATAACAAAAGAGGGCTGTGCATGCAGACTGTACTCAGTCTTAGCCTTGCTTTCTTCTTTGTGCAGGAGTGCAGTAGAGATGGTTGATGGAACGATGCCATTGGCCATCTCTGATGCCATGGTCCATCAGAATGTTTTCAGCAGACATTTCCCATCTCTAGAGTGCAGCAAATGTTCCGAGCTCTACATCTGGACAAGATGTAGAGGTCAGCCACCATACAAGTAGGGCCAGTATCAGTGTCCTGCTCCGTGTCCCAGTGGAGCTATACACTTTAGTAATCTCTCCCTCTCAGCGGCCTCATAAACTACTGCAGAAGGTCAGGGTCATTAGGGTCAAATTATTTTTTTATGGACACTCTAAAAACACTTTCAGGAGTCTTCTAAATCTTACATTAAAAAACAGACTGGTATTAGCTGATTAGAAACAATGTATGTGAACTAGAAAGAAGGTGGTTTTCATCCACTTGTTGGCATAGTAGTCATCCATGCCATCAGTCTGCAAGAAGACAATCAGTCTGTGGTCTTTTTATGTGTTTGAGTGTGAATATTTCAGTTCAACATATGTGCACATACTGCAGCCAGCAGCAGACTGGCGTTCTCTCTTGAGGTGGAAGACATTCCTAAAGTTAACTGTCCAGATTATATATGTACTGTGGGAGTGATTGTGTGGGTGAATACAACTGGCAAGCAAGGGCCAGCACCCTCCCTGACAACTAATCTGTCTGCTACTGGCTCTTTGCCCACATCCCATATTTATAATTTTGATCATTTGTACTAAACATTAGCTAATCCACATTCACATTCCAAAGAGATTAGGTATTAATGTTCATATCGAAGTAGACGATTGTTGAAAAGCACCATCCCTAGTCTCAAACTATGATAAATGAGTTATGTTGGAGCTGGATGGTTTTCCTCATTACAGGATGTTTTGAAGAGTTATATGCTCAATAAACATTCTCATAATCTAAATATTGTAGACCTCATCAGGAGGTAAATGTGTATGTACAATATCTTGTGAGGATTTGGAGCAGTTGTACAGGCTAACCTTGCCAGAACAGTCATGGGCATATTGCCAGAATGTTACGGTAGTATGTGAAAGTATTGTGGGTCTAACCTGGGTCAAATATCATTAGCAAATAATTACTGGTATTTGTTTTAATTAGCTTGAAGTACCAGATGGTGGGTTTGCTGCAGGTTAACTCAGGAAGTGTCAGGTTCATTTTAGATAGCCTTTAAACTCCTCTGATTGCCTTTCTCGCAATCGCTGTGCCATCCGATGAAGTGTTACTAACCCTCTGCCACACTAGGTCAAAGCAAACATAATTTTTTTTTTTTTTGGTTGAAAGAAATGTGTGACCCCAGCTGTTGCATGACTTTGAGGACATTTGCAGAATGTGTATCTGTTCATCATTAGATCCAGTCTGTGATTTATAAGATTGATTTAGCATGAGGAGGATATTATCTTTATTGTTCTGTGCGTGATTTAGAGTTTCAAAAACATAAAGGCTAAGCTTACAGTCTTAAAAGTCTGTTTTTCTCTGTGAAGGCCTTGCTGAAGCAGCTGCAGACTTACTTTCTTTACATTTCATGCATTTGTGAGTGGGAATGTGTGTAGGTATTTTCTATTGTTATCTGTGTTGTTACAAAGAGCCTGTTCAGTGTCTTGAAGGTGTTTTTCCTTGGAATTCCACTGTGTGACCACTCTGGACACTTTAAAATGTTATCACCCAGTGAATAAAATGTGTTAACCCTCCGATAAATCTAGTTTAAGATTCTGTCCGTTGTGTGGTTTAAGCCAGTGTGGATCTTGGACAGACTTAGACTTCAATTTTCATGCTCTTTCATATCTTCCTGATCCAGCTGAATTCTTTCCAAAAAGTTATATATGTCCATTTTATGGTAGAAAAAAGCTGAAATTCATCAGGCATCATCTTTAATATAGGTTCTGGACTATAAAAATGTTAGATTTAAAGTAGACAGAACTAGTTGTTTTCATGTAGTGCTTTTAAAGACGATTTCTATTAGAGAATGAAAAGAAAAAGCTTTTTATTTGCTCAATTCACATATATCTGAACTTGACTTGTGGCTGATTTTCCTCCCTTTCTCTGTTTTTTTTTTTTCAGGTGTAGCACAGGCTAGCCATGTCTATAAAAAGTAAAGGGTCAAGATGGAGGGCTTCGTCCAATGGACCCTGTGTGTGTTCAGGTGTCTGGCGATGGGAGCCACTATTTTATTTCTGCATCATCCTTGCCCTTATTCAGTCGGCAACTGTCCTTGGAGCATTGGAACTTCAGCTGGATGAAGAGCAGCCAGCAGGGACCATCGTTGGTGACATCAGTGCTGGGTTACCACCTGGTGAAGTAGCAAGTCTTTACTTCATCTCTGATCATGAAGGTACAGGTGTTGGCAATGATCTCAACATTGATGAAACCACAGGCATCATTACCACTGCGCGCCGTCTGGACCGTGAGCAGAGGGATCACTACAGTTTTATTGCTGTGACAGTGACTGGCATTACTGTTGAGGTGTCAGTCACTGTCAATGACATCAATGATCATGCACCTGTGTTCCCCAAAAAGAAAGCTGTTCTTAAGATCCCTGAGCACACAGCAGTGGGGACAAGGTTTTCCCTGGAGCCTGCGACTGATGCGGACCAGGACCAGCTGACCACCCAGGGCTATGCTATTCGAGAGGGCAATGTAGGCCAGGCATTCAGACTGGAGACCAAGAGAGCTGCTAACAAGGTTCTGTATCTGGACCTGGTGGTCAATGGGCTGCTGGACAGAGAGAAACGTTCATCATACCCCTTGGTCCTGGAGGCCTTTGATGGGGGCTCACCTAGAAGAATAGGATCCATGACCCTGGAAGTGACAGTGACTGACATCAATGATCACGCACCTGTCTTTAATCAGAGCAGATACCATGCTATTATCTCTGAAAGTCTTCCACAAGGAAGTAACATCCTGCAGGTTAGCCAGATGTCATCAGTGTTCAGATTCATTACCTCAGTAATAGATCTTACCTCTATAAATCCACATTCACCAACGTAATACTAATCTCAGTATTTGACTTTCTTGTCTTTATAGGTGTTTGCAACAGATGAGGATGAGGGCGATAATGGTCTAGTGCTTTTTGAAATCAACCGGCGTCAGAGTGATCCTGACCGCTTCTTTGTCATGGATATTAAATCAGGGGTCATCACTCTGAATAGACCTCTGGACTATGAGGTAAAGAGGGTCCATGAACTGGTGGTCCAGGCCAGAGATAACGCCAGCCACCCAGAAGTAAGCACATTACAGAAATATTTTTCTTGAATAACTTTTACACTGGTAAAGATTCCAAATGCATGGAATAGATTTTCATGGTCAAAGGAGCATAGGGTCAAACTGCCATGGGAACATTGTTTTTAGGTGTAATGGCATTAAGAGCACAGTGATCTGCCTTGACAGAGGTTTGGAATCTCTGAGTGCTGTCTAGTTGATTATGTAATCCAAGTTTCACCAGTTAAAAGCAAAATGAGAAATGAGCCAAAGTGTATCTCTAGTATAATTTGAAACTAATTTGTTTGAGCACAAAGTAACATGAATCATGCACCACTGTCTTTTCACAGGTGACCAATGCATTTGTGACTATCCATGTCCGTGACTACAATGACAACCAGCCCACCATGACCATCATCTTCCTCAGTGAGGACGGTTCTCCAAGAATCTCAGAAGGAGCCCAGCCAGGGCAGTATGTAGCTCGCATATCTGTCACTGATCCAGACTATGGAGAGTACGCCAATGTCAATGTGTCCCTTGAGGGTGGAGACGGGAAGTTTGCTCTTACAACCAAGGACAGCATCATTTACCTAATATATGTTGACCAAGTCTTGGACAGAGAGGAGCGTGATTCATATGATCTCAGGGTCATGGCCACAGACTCTGGCACGCCTCCCCTCAGGGCAGAGTCATCTTTCACCATTCAGGTGACTGATATCAATGATAACCCTCCTCTGTTCGACCAGCAGGCCTACAGACAAACTATTCCTGAGGTTGTGCATCCTGGATCATTTGTTCTTCAGGTTACTGCCAGGGACAAGGACCAGGGCCCCAATGGGGATGTGCGATATAGCCTCCTCAAGGGCAAAAACTCTCACTCTGATTGGTTTTCCATTGACCCCGTCACAGGGATCATTACCACCATGGCTGCTCTGGATTTTGAATCAGAACCAGCACCTAGTGTGACCGTTGTTGCAACAGATAGCGGCCGCCCGCCTTTGTCATCCACAGCGAAGGTGGACATTGTGCTGCAGGATGTCAATGATAACACACCTGTGTTCTCCAGCAACTTCTACAATGCTTCCATCAAAGAGAACACCCCAGCTGGGACCTGCTTCTTAGAGGTAGGAAAAACCCTAGAAAAAGTTTTCTTTCCTTTGTTCTGTCTTGGTCTTTTTAATCTGTCTTTTCTTCTGTGTCTCTGCAGTACTCCCCTCTACTCTGTAGGACAACTGCCATTCTTAAATGTTATTGTGCTCAGTCTTGCTCTACACTGGCCGTAACACTATTGTGCTACTTATGCAGCCCAAACCAAGAATTCACTTTCTCTCTTTTCTCATTTCTTTATTCACTATCTATTTTCACTCACACCCTCACCTTAAACCCTCTCTGATTACTCTCCTGGTAAAAGTCTGGAAATCAAAGCCACGTCTGAAGTGAGAAGCATTCTCAAAGTCCTATTTTAGAAAAGGGTGATGCAGTGGGAAAAAGAGGGAAACGTACTGAGTGAGACTTCACCTGCATTCCTGAAGCTACTGTGCGGAGATTTACTCTGTGCTGGTATGTCCTCTCACTCACCTTACAGTGTTGCCATGGTAACCCAGGCAGCAGCGTAGGGTGAGCCCTTGGTATCAGTGCACTAACTTGCAGCAGCTTGGCTGTCTTGCTTTCATCTTGATTCCAGCAGCTCATGTATATAAGGAGGACCTCTCTCCCGAGAAATGAAAAAGGATGACTGGCTTTTTGTCTTCCAGCTGCATCTTAACTTGGCATCATGCACCATTTAGACCAACTGTCTTTATACAGGATAGGTCTTACCTCTCTGCTGTGAAGCAGAACAGAAAAAAAGGAAACATTTCTGTTTCCTGCTATTTCAAGTATTTTCAGGAAAACATGTTGCTTCAACTTAAAAGTGCAGTGGTCCTAATAAAATGCTTTGAGCCCCTACTCATACCAACCACACTGGAGTTAGATAAATAGTTGAACTTTATGTTCTTGCAGGTTCATTTCACATGAATTTGGAAAGGATGGCTGGCTGGTATTCTGTGGAAACTGGCACATGGGCCTAATTCTTATGGAAGCCAGGACATGAGAGAAGTAAGGGAATGTAATGAAGAGGAATGATATGAAATAAAAAGTAGGAAGTGAGAGTCTGTTAAGGTGCAGAAGGACTGACTGAAGCCTTAACATTTTTAATTCTGAAGTGACTTTACAATCACAGTTATAACCTATGTGTTGCTGAATTGTTAAACCCTGTACTTTGCTCCTATGGCTGCTCTGTTGAATTATATCCCTCTGCCAACTAAATGAACCCTCTGGACCTCAGTTCCAGTTGTTGCAACAGTATTTTTTCTAATCCTACAGTTATTTTGACACTAGTCAGTCACCGCGGGTGGTTTTCCAGTTTGCCATAGTGAGTGAATAAGGCTTCATTAGCTCATTTCGGTAAAGTCCTCAGGGCTCAACGGGCCAAGCCAAGATTCCCTGGGCAAGAGTCTCTCCACAGGGGCTGTGATTTGGAGGATAATGGTGGTTGAGTAAACTTTTTTTTCTGGGCCAGTGGAATATATGGTCACTCACAGGATACACACACACACACACACACACACACACACACACACAAATGATGTCGAACCTGACTTCGTAGTCTAATGGATGCTGTTCCTGATTTGTTCTGTATTTTCTCAGTTTGCCTGCCAACCAACTGTCAAGATTGTGGAGCATTTGGTATTTTACTCTGTCAAGATAGTTGCAACGTGAAGAATTGGGTCAGCTGGCCCAGTAGGGCCAGTTTACATTTTTGTGTGATGTTACTTGGCACTGATGATCAGATTTTGTCAAGAACAAAGTTGAGACGAAGGCAGAATGTTCTCACAATTGTACCAATATTTACAATAGCCAACAATCACAATTTGGTTTTTGAAATTATAATACTGGCCTGGCTGGCTGATTGGAAAATTGTGTAAATCACTCTGTAAAATGAGGGAAATCATATTGAAACAAGTAAATGTATTATCAGATGGAATGGCAAAGAATGTGAATGAAGGAGTGGGATATACTGTAAAGTAAATGCTCATAAGGTAAGGGGTAGTGATTCCAATCAGGATTACCTAAGTTTTCAGTTTTCTCTCTTCCTTTCCTCTCATTCTTTCATTTTTCTAAATCTATGCTCTGTTGTTGTTTCTTTCTATAACTTTCTCACAATGTGTCTTTTGCCTTCTCTCATTCTCCATTCACATACATACACATTTATACACCCTACGCTAGTGTGTAGGAAGTTTCTTATCAGTTTGGCCACAATAGTAATCTATAAAGTGTTGCACTGTTTGTGGAGCCATGACACAAAGAAGTTATTTATTTCTTGGTTTCCCTGTTTTCCTCTTCCCCGACTTCCTTTAAGTATTTCTCATGCAGGAGACCTTATGCTGCCACTGTGTGAATGTGTGTGTGTGTTTGTACATCCGTCTGATTCAGGTTCATATCCTGGTAGAGGTCATGAGAACGACGTGAATTGTAGCTGGCGGTGAAAACTGACAAGCATATTTATAGTGCATCATGTTAATTGCTTAAAAAAACCTTTTAATGGCATGTAAAGGTCGTTGAAACACCTGATCTGAATGTGGCCTATCTGAAACTGGTGCCACTGAGTTGATTAATCTCAGTTCTCTTGCTTTTTATTTGTTTTTCTTGGTTATAATCTTTGTTTTTCAGAGACTAAGCATCTTTTATTTCCTGTGTGGGTTGTGCAGAGCTTCTGTCAAACCCAGTGACACTTCCAGCATAACCTGCCCACTGGGAAGGCACAGCTGATCTCACAAAGAGTGGCATGCACATTCTTGCAAACACTCAAATGCAGCACCAACAGACATCAGCAGAAGAGCTGCAAGCTAGAGGAAGCAAAAATACAGGAAAATATGTTTAAATATATTAAAGGGTTGCCAGTGTATTAGTTCAGACACTGTAGTTGAACTGGGATTAAACTAGAGAACAAAGCAACACAATGGAATGTAGCGCATGTGAGTCCATTCTTTTATGTCATACTACATCTGTGCATGTGTACTTGTGTACACCGTTGAAGCTAAGAACTCCCTTTCAGAGGGGGAGTCATCTCTGTGATGTTCACCATGTGGGCTCCTGGTCAAGCCTGTTAAACAACTCTCAATCATTTCGACAGACACACAGATGTGCTCTGCTGGGAGACGCACAAAAAGATGGAGAAAACAGTAAACCGTTACTGTAATGCATGTCCGTACAGTACGTAGCTGAAGAAATTCATAATAATAATAATAATCAAAAAGAAATAATGAAGAGAAATAAGTTGAAACATGCAATGAACACTAGGAGCCCACAGACGCTGCATTTTTATTTTTTTTTTCACAGTACAAAATTCTGGACAGAATGATAAACATACACATTTCTCTCCAGTCTCATTAGTCACCACATTTTTTAGTAAATAGAGATTCAGAGTTTACCTATGGAGCAGCCCTTGCTGGTATCAGGTAAAAAGAGAAAGTTGTAAAAGAACATTAGAATGTTGTGGAGCGGTGACTGAAATAAAAAAAACAACTACTACTTATTGGAAGCAGACCGTTTTCTTTTGACAGGTGGAGTTAGTCCTCCTGAACTTCCCACAAAACCACGTATGTAAACAAAGCACCTCTGTCTGTCAGAGAAATCAGCCGTTTTGGTGTGAAGTCCAAAGTCAGCGTCCCCATGGCTATATAACTCTATAAGGAAAGACTAATCATATTTAAAACATATACACGCACACTGAGACTAATCACATTTGATAAACCATGGTGACGCACTAAAAACAGGAAGGTGTTCAGCTTGAACTTCCTGCCACACCAGACCGGTGTCCTGCTGGTGTTGCACGGATTCAAACCCCGGGGGTGATTTAATTCTATCATAGGCCCCTGAGCTCTGTCTGCTGGCCCGTTTCCATCATCACCACATGCAACGGATTTACCATTGCACAGAGTGAAACTGCTAAGTCAGGCCTCACAACAATCGTACTGTACATTAATACAGTATACTTCATAACATCTGAAATAACACAAACATCTTTCTCCAGCAGTTTGGCACAACAGCAAACACTATTCAGAGCCAGTAGGTGACCCTGCTGTCGATGTATTTATTTCAGTTGTTTTTTGAATTCGTGTCTAGACCAGGTAGTGCCGGTGTCTGGTTTTTCTTTACAGTTTCTTGCTGTCTTCTTGGTTAATATCACTCACAAAAGGCACCATGCTAAATGTAGCGCTAGCCACCATAGAGTTCTGGAGTAATATTACCAGAGCCACAGGAATTGCACTCGGTGCTTTGTTGTGTCAAAATTTTTTGAAAAATCCATTTAGCCTCTGTACTTTTTTAAAGTTTCTCTTGTTTTTTTCTTCTCTTTTTGAGCCTAAGTACTCCTCTCATGTCTCCTAGATGTTTGCTTCACTGTCATAGATAATGCCTCTGTCATGATACCTTTTTCACTCAGGAGGTCACCAGACCAGTTCGTAATGTGACAACACCTGACCAATCAGTGTCAACAACTAATTAGCAACAAACTGACCAATCATACACATGAATAATGACATAATCCCCCCCTTAAAATGATTATTGTTGTTATGCACAGTCATAGACCCTTTGTAATTCTGGGTCCTCTGATTTCAGCCCAAGAACTCTCATGCAATAAAAAGCCCCTGCCCCACCCCCGTGGACACCAGAGCCAGACCAAACCACAGCTTCCACTTGGAGCTTGCATGCTCCCCTGCAGCCCAGGCTTGCAACACACACCCTCTCTACTTTTTATTAAGCTTGAAAATGTTGAGGGAAGATGAAATTTATTGTCCACTTGATGCCTTCCCTCCTGCTTGTTCTTGTACAGTGGCAGCTGTTCTTTAATGCGGCCTTGCTCTGTTGAAACTTTGTCTTGCGTGTTTTAATTAATCTGTCAGTGTGTTTATTTTTTTTAAGATCAATAGCTGAGTAAAGAGAGGCTACACGTTGGAGCGATCACTGTCACCACAGGTCTCAGTTTCCTTAAGCAGGTGATAAGCTATAACAAATGGTTGGGTTAACACGCAAACAGATACCAGGAGAATGAAAATTTGGTGAATCGTTTCATGCTGTTAAC